CCCCTGCCCCTCCCGGCGCGCGCCCCCCGGGCGGGCCCCGCCCCGCGCCCTCCCCTCCCGCCCTCGGGGCGATGCCGCTTTTCGGGAGCTTCCCGGCGCTGCCCGCCCGCCGGCATCGGCCTGCTGAAAGGCGGCGGCGCAGGTTGTTTTGAGCAACGCTGGGTGCTGGGGGACAAGCAGCTGGGCTTCGCAAGCTCGTCGTGCTCCTTCTCTTTCTCTTTCTGCATATTTCTGCATTCCTTCTCCCTCTTTCTGCCCGCCTTCTCCGGGAGCCCCTGGAGCCCTTCATGCTCCCGCTCCCCGGCTCTCCCCGGGGCTGGATCCTTACCGCCTATCCCCCATTCCGGCCGGGCACAAAAGCGCTGCTGGGAGCTGCCGGCGGCTGAACCAGGGCGGAAAATTCGGTCGGACGAAGACAGAAAAACATCATTTTCCAGCGGGCACACACCGCCCCTGCTTCTACCTTTGATCAGATTGCTTGTTGAACAAGCTCAGAAAAACGCAGCAGACTTCGGCTTTATCCCCCGATCTATACCAACGCAACGTCGGACGGTGAAAAGATTCTCCTTACATATACACCGAGCTGAGATTTCTTTCCAAATAGGGAAGGTTTACGTACTTTTGCAAGGAAACCCGTTCCCTATGCAGCTGCAGAGAACCATACTGTGAAACCGGGGAGGTTGACACAGCAGCTTCGCCAGGCGAACACCCAGCTGCTGGCTGTGATCGTCCTCCCGACGGTGCTCAGCGACGCACACGCGTGGCGGTGCCACCTGCCCGGGGCCGGCGGCGGCACCCAAGTTTGGCACGGCAGCACCAGCACCCTCGGCGGTTTCTGCAGCTCGGCGAGGGGGGCACTGGAAACGCTTGTTCTTTTTCGGACGGGAGACGTCGAACTGGGAGATGTCGAAAGTGCTGTAAGAGCTTAATAAACCTCGAAGGGATTTCTCCAGCTCCTGTTTCATTGCCTTATGCTTCACGGACACTTTACAAAGACGGAGAATAGCTCCGTTTTGATGCTAAAAGTTGTCACTATCAGCTTAAATAAGCGCAATTTGATCATCGTGCTAACGTACAACCCTCTGCTGCAGGTTCAGGGCTGGTCTTCGGGTGAATTAATTCGACCAGTACAGTGTGATTAACTCATGTAGTTGAGGGAATCGTGCCAAGACAGACACTCGGCCGCATGGAGAGATATCTTTACATTAAAACGTATTTAGTTCCACCGAGGCTTTAAAAAGCAAGCCGGGGCAGCAGAGGCAGAACCTGGCACTCGTCATCACAAAAATCCCGTCCTTCCCTTCCCAGCCAGGGCGGTTTAGCAGGGGCTAAGCCTGAACAGATAGGAGGTGAAAGCTGTGCCTGGCTGGGAGGTGAGGATACGCCGTGTGCTTATGTTCAAGAATAATTCGGGGTCAAATAAAGAACAGCAAATGTTTTCGAGGCAGGCAACCAAAACAAATCATGGCGATTTCTAGACTTTTTCTTGTTGTTGTTATTTTAGTGCTATACCGTTCACTAAAATCTTTTGTACACCCAGAAAGACTTCCAATGAGAAGATGTTTGTCCTTTAACACCACATTATCAACAGAGGTCATTTGCTATTTTTCAATGAATTATCCCTTTTATTTGTTTATTTCTTTGATCAGCTATAAATGAAAGTTATTCGTGTATATAAAACTGAAGTTTTTACTGTTGAAATTGAACTGTACATGTTTACTACAGGAAAAAATATCAACTCTTGTTTAACAAGACATTATACATCAATAAGCAATAACCTTGTGGAGGATTTGCAATCACCTGGTCTATAAAAACAAGCAGGACAAATAACAGCAATTTATATGCAAAAGTAATGATTTAATGACTATAAGCGAGACAAAGCAATAGAATTGTGCTTCTTTTGCAGACTGGAGACAATGAAATGTTTAACTACAATTTTCCCGTACAAACATGAAACAATATCCATATAGAATAAACACCCTCACAAATGTATAACTGATGGGTGATGAACACACACGAAGTTCGACCAAAGCAAAGCACAAACTGAAAAGTGTTCCGGGCTGTTCATATTTTATGGTGGAAAAGTTCCTTCTACTGAAAAAATAATACCCTTAGAAGCCTCTAATAAAATGCACCTATTTGCAGGCCATTAAAGAGGAGGCATTCTCCACAATTTATTGGAAATATTAAAGTACCTGTTAAATTTTAATGAAGTTAGTACTGTACCATATACATATATATTAAAACAAATTTAGATAAAATGCCTTCATCCAGCGACTTGCTGGTTCCTTAAAATTTATACCAAATAGTTTATGGCTTCTATAATGATTCCGTGTGCTTTTAAAAACACAAACCCACCACACCAAATAATAAAAAGGTAATCAAACAGGTCAAAGATTTCCATCTCCCTTAACTTTTTCCCCCTCCCCCCTCTTCACTGCATCACTTCAACATTTGGTAAAGTAAAAATATATCACTTGGAAAAAAAAAGACAAAGCCAGTAAAATCCTTTTAAGATTGCCAATTGCCTCCAGGTTATCAGAGACTTGAATGTGCTTTCCCAATACTGTAGCTCTCACACACAAAGTGTTTCTTGCAGTATGAGCAAAGCTCAAACAGGCGGCATCTGCAAGGGTCGAACCGGTTTAGAAATTTAACAACCATATCATGAGTGCATGAAACACAATATTTTCTTTATAGTATTTATAAATATATCATACAATACTGTTTCCTGTTATGTCATATACCAATATGGCATTGTACAATAAGCATAATGCCATCTGATTCTTACAAAAGCGAATCATTTAAACAAGTCAGTAAATAAAACGGTAATACCCGCTTTTAGGCATACAGATTGTAAAACTGAAGTTTACTTTTCTTTTGATCGGTTCTGCGCAGCAACAGAGAAGTAAAAGATGCAACATAAGAATCAAAATGGCTAATACGCAAAAATTGTTATTCACAGTGACATGGCTACATATATGCATTATTCTATGCATATTCTTTTCGTTTTGTTGGATTTCAAGATGAAAAAGCACTTGCTTTCTACAGGTTCACAAAACAGCATAAGAACAATAACAATCGAAGAGAACGCAATGGAGGAGTTAGTCTGGATTAACGAACTACTTCCCGGGATTTGTATCGACTTCTGGAGACTCCCGAGTCCAGATGATGGGGACGGAAACAACTCCGCATCACTCAGAACAGGTGAAGGTGTAACTTTTGTTTGCTTCCCAGTCCTCTGAAAACAATTTACATTTCAATCTTGCGTTTCCATTAACGTCCATCCTGAATGTCACCTAGTCCGCCTTTTATAGCCAAGTTCAGTGTCACTACAAAAGAAAGCAATTTGGACGATAGTCACATGGATTAGCATCTATAAAGCTGTAATGGCATGGAGAGATCTATATAAAGGAGGGGCGGGGGCGGTAGCCTGGTTGGCGCAGTCAACCAGATGAAGTGGCCGAGGAGCCATTTATCGAAGTTTTCCGCGCTCTGTTGGTAAAGGAGGACTGGTGGTTACTGCTGGGGCTGCTGCTGGTGCCATTCATGGTGCTGGAGATGTGGGGGAACTGGGGGTGAGGAGACTGGACCGGCGTGCTGGGGCTGGGCAAACAAGAGGAGGTGGAGGGGATGCCTCCCGCCGGGCTGCTTGCCTTGTCGCTCCCAGAGTCACTTTCCAGCTCCCCGCTATTATTCAAGCCTTCCCTCTGGTGACTGATCTTCATCCTCTTGCAAGTAGGTCGGACCCGGTATTTCAGGGGGAGAGGCCCGTTCTGCAAGGCAAAGGGGAGACCCTGGTGAGCGCCCTCCGGGCCACGACCCGCACCCCCGGGAGGAGGCACACTGGAGACACTCACCCGCCTCCAGGTATAGATGTAGGCAATATCCATTAGGGTGTAGTAGTCCTTCAGAGGCTCCTCTTCGTACATCACATCGATCTGTTCAAGAGACGAATCCTTGCATTAAGGAGCATCCAGGCATTTACCCCTAGCGTACGATTGCTCTGAGGTGAAAGCAGCCCCGCTGCCACGTATCTCAGAAAACTGAAAAAAATGCTATACCAAAACCAGCAGGGAGTAGGGAATTTTCGTATCTATTAGATATGTTTTAAATACGTTAAGGAGCAACTTCTTGATACCTCGATATTTACAGCATTGAAAAGTTACAGAGCGTCACCAAACTCTCCGGATAGATATTTTAAAAAGAACGCTCATAATCCCACCAACATGTTGCACACACCAGAAATACCTGGTGGTTAGCACTTGCTGGAACCGGCTGTAATGAGAAAATGAGTGCTAACCAGCATTAGCAGGCTTAGAACAGCAAGACTGATTTAAAAAAAA